CCCGATGCAGAAGCAATAGTTCCTTGCATGGGCTCCATCCAGTCTGAGCTTTGGCACCTCTACAGAAGGACGGCCTTCCCCTTCCTTGATGACGTTTGAAGGAATGCAGTCCGGAAAGATTTTCACATTTCTTATTCAGAGACTCCGAGGACGGCCTGGTCCCACTTCGGTCCGTCCACCGGTTCAGATGGAGGTCAGAGGCCCTGGTCTCTGTGCTCCTCTGCTTGCTGAAGCAGGTGGGGGGCAGGAATTCAGCTCGGACCCCACTGGCTCCTCCAGATACAGCTCCGGCAGTAGGCGATGCGAAAGCCCTTCAGCTGAGATCCTGGAGAGACTCTGCCAGTCAGAGTAGACCGTGATAGACCAATGTGGTCTGACTCAGTGCCAGACAGCTTTGTGTGTTCCTTCAGTGACCTGCAAGGGGAATCCAAGATGGGGTTCCAGATGTGGCCTTTAATACAGCTCCTGCCAACCTAGCAGTTCGAAAGCAAGAAATTGCAAGTAGATAAATAGGTACCGCTTCGGTGGGAAGGTAACAGCGTTCCGTGCGCCTTGGCATTTAGACATGCCAGCCACATGACCACAGAAATGTCTTTGGACAGCGCTGACTCTTCGGCTTGGAAACGGAGATGAGCACCGCCCCCTAGAGTCGGATCCGGCTAGCTTTCAAGCGAGGGAAACCTTGACCTTTACTATATCCCCTCGCAAAATCCAGCAGTACTCATCTCTGTGGCTAACGGCCACCTTTATCTTTGTTCAGAAGCAAGTCTTGGTCAGCCAGGGATCCCCCGGAATTACAGCTCATCTCCAGACTACAGGGATCAGTTTCCCCTGGAGAAAATGGATGCCTTGGAGGGTGGACACTTTTACTCCAGAGGTCCCTGTCCTCCCCAAGCTCCACCCCCAAATCTCCAGGAGTTTCCCAGCCTGGATCTGCCCTAACCCTAACCCTCCATCCCTTACTGATGACCAGGGCGATCCTAGCCAGGGATGAAGCCGGAAATGGCCCTGGAGCACGTCAAGGAAAGTGGCCCTTGTGGTGCTACTAGCTGGAGCCTCTGGGGCCACTCGGCTTTGCATCACCAGCAATGGCCATCGGTTCCTCCATTGTCTCCTCCCATAAACTCACTGCTTTGCATGCAGAAGGTCCCAGGTTCAATCCCTGGCATCTCCAGTTAAAAAGATGAGGGAGGAGGTGATGGGAAAGAACTGAGACCCCGGAGATCTTCTGCCAGTCAGAGTCGATGAATGCTGACCTTGACGGACCCGGGGTCTGACTCAGTCTAAGGCGGCTTTACGTGTATCGTGTTTAAACTGATGGCGGTACAGGAGGAGGCAGTTGTGAGCTGACACTGATCAGTGTTAGATCGCGCTAACTAATGATCGGAGAATGATTTCAGCTCAGTGATTCAGCTTTATTTGAAGTAGCGAACAACACTCAACACAATCCAAAACCAGAACAGCTTAACATTGGGAGCTAGGCCCCTTTTAAACATTACCGAGCTAATATAGCCACGCCTATTTACAGATAACAACCAATGAGATTGAGTAGTTAAAGTCCAATGAGAGTCTTTCCCTCGCTGGCGCTTGTGCAGTTCCTGATTGGTCGCTGTTAAAGGGCGACGAGCGGTTCGGAGGAGCCCTCGTCTGGTTCAAGCTTTGCATGGTGAGTTAATGAGGCGATTCATACAAGCGATTTCAATACATAACAATCGGAATTGCCGCTGGAGGATCCAAGTGGCCCCGGAGTCACTAGCAGAGCTGATGGGGCTTGGCGCTACTGGCTTTTGGCCACCAGTGGCCCCATAGGGCAGCATCCCACCAGGAAATTTCCGGTAAGTTAAATGGTAAGTTAAGAGCCAGTTTGGTGTAGGGGTTAAGAGCATGGACTCATGTCTGGGAGAACCGGGTTTGTTTCCCCACCCCTCCACATGGCAGCTACTGGTGTGACCTTGGGTCAGTCATAAGTTCTTTTAGAGCTGCTCTTAAAAGAGCAGTCCTCGAAAGAGATCTCTGTGCTCCACCTACCTCACAGGGTGTCTGTTCTGGGAAGGGGAAGGAGATTGTAAGCCTCTCTGAGACTCCGAGTGAAGGTTGGGGTATAAATCCAATCTCTTCCTCCTCCTCCTCCTCTTCCTCCTCTTCTTCTTCTTCTTCTGCCAGTCTATCCCAGTATTCAGCAAAGGTTATGTACTTCTCTCTTCCATTTCCCTTTCGTTCCTTACCCCTTGGGTGAATCAGACTCCCAATGCTTTATTTGTGTGCTAGTTTCTGTTTCCTCCCCTACTGAATGTCCCTCATACAATGTACGAACATTCAGTCTTGTCCAATCTATCAGCATGAAGCATATATCATACATATAAATGACATATATTATACATATCATTATATGCCGTATAAAACTGCACATAAATCTGTTCAGTGTATGCATATCACTCAAGCAAAGCTAGAAAGCGAACAGTTAAAAACCGAAATAGTTGCTGGAAAAAGATAAACAAATACAAAAGGGAACGAAATCAGGAATATTCGCTCATCCCTAGGTTGCATCTATATTCTGCACTCAAGAGTCCCCCCTTCTGGGGCCTGCAAGCACAAATTCTGCAATGAGAAGAACTTATGCAAACGGCTCCTTAGAGAAAACATTTGCACACAGGACAAAGTTTTGTTCAAAAGTCAAATTTGCTTCATTGGGTAGCAGCAGGTGGACAAACTTGAAGGCCACCAGTGGTTGGATACTCACCAATCACGGGAAGGAGATGTAGAATAAGCAGAAGACGGGGGTGGCAGGGTTGCATCCTGCGTTTGCTTTCTATTCTTCAGTGCTCCAGAAGAAGAAGAAGAAGGATAGCAGCCCCACAGTGGAGACTCGCTGAATCATCTTCTCCCCTCATGCCTAGGTCTCCGGGTTCTCCTTTTCCGTCGCTATGACAACCCAAACCCCAGAGAGAACAGTCGGTTATTCACCGAGGTCCTTCAGGACACCTCTGCCTGGTGGCTTCCCCTTCACCTTGCATTCTCAACTTCCATATCAGGATGGGTCGAGGGCCGTAACCGCCGCCCTTCGCAAGCTTGGATGGCGGCCTCTCGAGTTTCTTGGCAGCTTCTGTGGGCCAACGGCATGAGCGTCTTCCCACAGGGGCCCCGTCTCTCACCGCATTGTGCAAGGCATCCGTCACACGTCGTGAAAGCCCCCAACTGGGCAGGTTGCCCGAGCGGATCATTCGTAGCCTCCGAAGGGAGGGGGGGTCCAGCTTCGCGATGCAGAAGCCGCGTCGGCTCCTCAAGGCAACCCCCAAAGAGCAAAAGCACTCTTTGCTAACATGGCCCTTGGCACGTCTGGCCTGCCATTCTTGTTCCATAGCCAGCATGTCGGAGGAGGCTGCTCCTTATTGGTACACATGAAGCTGCCTTCAGCTGAGTCAACCCGTCGGTCTCTCAAGGCCAGAACTAGGTCTTTCACAACACGTACCTCATGAACCTAAGAGGGAGATGCCAGGGATTGAACCTGGGACCTTCTGCATGCAAAGCAGATACTCTGCCACTGAGCCATGGGCCCTCCAACCCCACTACTGGGACTATTCAAGAGAATGAAATGACTTTCTGGGTCTCAGGAGTCCTCAGGAGAGCCAGGTGAGGTGTAGTAGTTAAGAGTGGTGGACTGTAACCCGGAGAACTGGGTTTGATGTCCCGCTCCTCCACATGCACGGATAAGAGGAAGTCCTTCTTCACCCAAAGAGTGATTAACACTTGGAATTCACTGCCACAGGAAGTGGTGGCGGCTACAAGCATGGACGGCTTCAAGAGGGAATTAGATAAGCATATGGAGCAGAGGTCCATCAGTGGCTATTAGCCACAAGGTATAGATAGGGACTCTGGGGCAAGTGATGCTCTGTCTTCTTGGTGCTTGGGGGGGTCAACAGTGGGAGGGCTTCTAATGTCCTGGCCCCACTGGTGGACCTCCTGATGGCACTGGTATTTCTGGCCACTGTGTGATACAGAGTGTTGGACTGGATGGGCCTTTGGCCTGATCCGCTGAGGTGTAGTAGTTAAGAGTGGCGGACTGTAACCCGGAGAACTGGGTTCGATATCCCGCTACTCCACATGCAGCCAGCTGGTGTGACCTTGGGCCAGTCACAAGTTCTCTCAGAGCTGTTCTCTCAAGAGCAGTTCTCCCAGAGCTCTCCCAGCCCTGCCTACCTCACAGGGTGTCTGTTGTGGGGAGAGGAAGGGAAGGAGAGTGTAAGCCAGATTCCTTTGGGTATTGAAGAGTGGGGTATAAAACCAACTTCTGCTGCTGCTGCTGCTGCTACACTGGAACCTTCAGATCTGTACTCTACTGCCTCCATGTGGATGAGCCAATCAGAGCCTCCAACTGAACAATTCCCATGGCCAGGAAGCTCAGCTGTAGGGAATCTAGAGAGCCCAGAGAGCAGGTCCCAAGGAATCCAGTGGTCACAGGAATGGCTGCAGATGGTGCATCTAGGGTTGCCAGTTCTGGGTTGGGAAACTGCTGGAGATTTGGGAATAGACCCTGCTGAAGGCAGGGTTTGGGGAGAGGAGGGCACTTGGCAGGTTATAATACCATAGAGTCCACCCTCCAAATCAGCCATTTTCTCCAAGGGAGCTGTTCTTTGTCATCTGGGGACCAGTTGTAATTCCAGGAGATCCCTGGGCCCCACCTGGAGGTTGGCAACCCAAGGTGCATCCGTGGACTTACGTTGAGTGGCAGATCTGCTGTTGTAGTATAAGAACATAAGAATATAAGCAGAGCGTGCTGGATCAGACCAGTGGTCCATGGGGCCTAGCATCCTTGTTCACACGGCTGCTAACCAGTGGCCCAGGAGAGCCAAACAGACAGAGACCGAGGCCCTCCCTGCTGCCGCCTCCCTCCTGGCAGCAGTATGTTCACCCTGTTTTGTTCACTCATATGATCTTCTCCTCGTGATCAAGCTCAAGGGTATCCAGTTCTGCATGTCTGGGAAAGAACTCAATATTCCCTGTTCCAGGTGTAGTCGCTCCCTCTCAAAAGGGTCTAAGCATGCTCCCTCATGGGACCCAGCTATGACTCAATGGCAGAGCATCTGCCGTGCATGCACAAGGTCCCAGGTTCAATCCCTGGCATCTCCCATTTAAAAGGATGCAGGTAGAAAGTGATGTGAAAGACCTCAGCCTGAACCACTGGCCAGTCTCAGGAGACAGTCCAGACCTTGATGGACCAAGTCTGGTATGGTATACGGCAGCCTCATGTGTTTATGTGGGATGCTAAGGACTGAAACTGGAGCTTTCCATGGGGAAAGGAGGGGAAAGGCTCTGCCCCTAAATCTCCAGGAATCTCCTAAGCCGGAGCTGGCAACCCAACCTAGGTTGCTGAAGAGGCAGGCATCCACCCTTCAGACATGAAAAATGTTCGCTTCAACCTTGGGACTGCCGGAAGGGCTCACCGTTTAAAATTCCCCTCACTGCGCGCAGCCATTAAACGTTAAGGAGCCCTGACAAATCTCTGAGCCGTGGATGTTTCCAGTTGCAATTTAATTTAGGAAGAGCCTTTTTATGGCCCTCAGTAAAATATCGGCGGGTGGCTCAATCAATAAATCCTCTCCGCGAATAAGCAAACCATATCGCAGCGACTGAGGGGGAAAAAATCTTGATTTGTCCTACGGTCCCGGTTTTGGACCAATGGTGAGAGACTGAGAGAGGACAGAGAGAACTGGAGGAGAGGGAAACTAGACATCTGGGGGAGGGGGGATACGGTATATTTTACGGGACCAGCCAAAATGTCACAGAAGAGAGCGCGATTTTGAGTCTCCAAGATCCTTGATGACAATCAGCTTCCCATCAAGGGTTGCCAAATCTGGTTTAAGGAATTCTTGGAGATTTTGGGGTGGTCCTGGGGACCATGGTTGCCAACTTCAGGATGGGAAATTCCTAGAGATTTGTAGGCAGTGCCTAAAATTAACAGAGCTTGGGGAAAGAAGGAAGTTTATGTGGGACATGATGCCATGAAGTCTGCCCTACAAAGCTGCCATTTCCTCCAGGAGAACCAGTTTGGCGTGGTGGTTAAGTGCATGGACTCTAATCTGGGAGAACCAGGTTTGATTCCTCACTCCTCCACATACAGCTGCTGGATGACCTTGGGCAAGCCATAGTTTTGTCAGAGCTGTTCTCTCAAGGACAGTTCTGGAAAGAGCTCTCTCAGCCCCGCCTACCTCCCAGGGTGTCTGTTGTGGGGAGGGGGAGGGAAACGAGATTGTAAGCCCCTTTGAGACTCCGAGTGAAGGGTGGGGTGTAAATCCAATCTCCTCCTCCTCCTCCTCCTCCTCTTCTTCTTCTTCATCTGGAGAGGAGCTGTAATTCTGGGGGATCCCAAGGCCCTACCTGGAGTCTGGCAACCCTCCTGCTCCCATCAGACAATAAAAGGGATTATTTAAAAATTTTCAGTCTTATTACTTTGATCAGAAAATCCCTGCTTTGATGTTATGGGACTGGAATTTGTGATTTAAAAAATACCATTTTCTATTTCTTATGTCATATAAGCATTTTCCCCAATGCTGTTTTTCAATAATAATCCAGCTTCCCATATTATACAATACAGATACTTTGAACGAGGCCCGTAGCCAGGATTTTTTAATTCGGGGGGGGGGGTTAAATAAATTGGGGGCACCCTGCCAA